ATGCCATTGTGTTGCAGTGTCTGACATGTGAATATCAAATGGTACACAATACCAACGGTTGGTAGGTAAGACACATAGGCAACAGCTAGGCAACTTTATTCCGAAACATTTCACCTACACAGTAGGCTGCTTCAGTCGAATACAGAAAGTAGGCAGGAACAGTGAGAATGTGAAGACGATGTAATCAGTCCACCACCCTTGAAGTCATAGATTTGAGGTTGTCAGTCCCTCAGCCTGGAGAAGTTCTGTTCCATAGCTTTATCTTCATAGTTCCCGACTATGGAACTGATCTTCGACATTCCAATATGGAACTGAACTTCCCCCAGACTGAGGGACCGACAACCTCAAATCTACGACTTCAAATCTTCACATCGCTACTGTTCCTGCCTACTTTCTGTATTCGACTAAGAAGCCTACTGTGTAGGCGAAACGTTTCGGAATAAAGTTGCCTAACTGTTGCCCATGTGTCTTACCTACCAACCTGTTGGTACTGTATACCATTTTGATATTCACATAGAATTATCAAAGCTTATTATGATCGAGGCTAGAACCTTAGGTAGCTGTAAAGAGAGACTGGACAAATATATGAGTGGGAGGGGATGAATTTGATTGGTGTCGTAGGTGCAGGAGTGAATTCTTGAGTAGCTTTGGGTAGTGGTGGTTTTGATAAGGACCTGCCTTGTATAGGCCAGTAGGCCTTCTGCAGTGTTGCTCCATTCTTATGTTCTTATTGCTTGGGTAGCATTTATTCTGTTAGTGGGTTGGATTTGTGAAGGACCTGCCTAGTATGTGCCAACAAACCTATTGTGATGTTCTTTCTTATGCTCATGGAACAAAGCTGAAAATCAAGAAGTCTGTTGGAGTGGCAGAAACAACGAAGATCCAGAAGATTGCTGTGGAGACTTCCAACCCATTTTCGGTGTTACCAGACGAATGTGGGTTGTCTACTGGGAACGTCACAACGAACACCAAGGGAGTATTGGCAGATGTGAGTGAGCCATCCCTTGATACCCCAATGAAGACCATCAAGAACGTCATGACAAATTCCACAAATGAAGGTAAGAACATTGTTTTAGTTGGAGACAGTCAGGTTAAGTTTATGGATAGGGCCTTTTGTCTTAGGGACAGGAAAAGGAGGCCAGGGTATGTTTTCCTGAGGGTGGATGGGGATATGTTAGCCACTGGACACATCATGAAGGTAATGGGGGCAATCCTATTATCTGCCTCAGTGCGGGAGGCAAAAGTGTTGGCAGAAAGTAGGAGTGAGGACCTGATTAGCAAGTACATGTAATAGGTCAGCAATAGAGATAATTAGGAAGAAGGGTGGGAACCCTGTCATATGTGTATTTTTCCAAGGAGAGGAGTTGAAACGAATGGTTATCCAGGGCAATGGTGTCAATTGCTGGCTGACAAATACTGTAAGGAGAATGCGGTAACATTCATTGACAACTGGGACCTTTCATGGCAGAAAGACATGTATGCCGGGGATGGGGTTCATTTATTAGGTCTGGGGGGGGCATGGAAACGGCAGGGAGGGAGCTTTTTGGGGGTTTTTAAAAAAGGGAAATATATATGGTATGGGTTTTGGCGAAAATACAGTAAAAGTCCTAGTATAGAAAAACTATGATTCTGGGGGAAAGAAAAGGGGAAGTGAGGTGGATTTTGGGAAAACCCAAGGGGCAAGGAAAAAAGGCAGTAATAGGTTATAAAAAAACAGTTATAGCGGAAAGGGAAAGAAAAGGAGGGTCTTTAAAATTATACAGTGGACCCCCCCAAACATCACCTCCGAATGGCCCAAATTATGTAAGTGGTTTGTAGGGTAGTTTGGGGGTTTAAAAAGGCTAATCAAATTCACAATATTCCTTAGGGGAAAACAATTCGGCAGTATGGCCCCGAACAACTTCTGGAGTGAAAAAAATATCGTTAACCGGGGGCCCCGGGTATTATCAAATAGCCGTATGCAGGAAAAGATGGATTTTTTAGATTAGTTGTATGCGGGTAACATTGACGTATTTGCAATCACGAGACATGGTTTTTTTCAAAAGTGGGACATCCCTTGGGAATTCACATTCAGGGGTTTTAAATTTTTCCAAAGTAGATAAAATCGGTAAGGGGTGGGGTGGCACTGTATGTCTGAGATCACTTAAACTGTTGCAAAAAAAAGGGTTTTAATTCGAGGTAACACATCATCTGTCTGGAAAAAATTTTCAGAGGGCTAAAAATTTATTCTAGGATGTATACCCCCCCCAAACTTAAAAGGGGGACCAAAGGGGGAAATTACTGTGGGAGGAAATTGTTAAGGCCAAAAGGCACGATAATGAGTAATTCAGGGGACTTAAAACTTTATCACATTGATTGGGAAATTTCTTGACGGGGGAATTTAGAATAAAATGACTTCTAATATTCAGGAATTTTTTTTTGAAGCAGTTTGTGACAGAACCTACAAAGGGGAAAAAACCTTCTTGATTCGTTTGGCGAACAAGGAAACCCTTGTTAATAATTTAGAAATTAATGAGGAACTCGGGAAAAGCGATCACAATCAATTCCTTTAGCATTGAATGGAAGTTTATAGTAGGGACAACTCAGTAACATTCCAGATTTTTCACTTTGGGAGATTAAATGGGCTTAGAGAAAACTTTTCTTTGACGGGGTAACGAAAAGAGCTCTCAATATGACATTTTTTTGAACAATGCTACTGTCAAAGAACGTTATCCGGTTTTAAAGAAATTAGAAAATAAATAAAATGAAAAACCAAAAAGGGTGAATAATAGGCTGAAATATTTCTAGGGGAAAAGAAAGGAATTATATTATCAAAAGAGGTGAGGGGCATCTTATGAATCATATATTTACAAAGGGGACATTGAAAAGGGATAAGAAAACAAAAAGGTACTAGAAATTAAAGTTGCAAGGGGTTGAAAAATAAACCCCAAAAAATTTTTCCCCGGTGTTAAACGTAAGTTAGAGAAAGAAGGGCCCCCTTAAAAATAAATATGGGGATCTTACTGACAAAAAAGAAAAAGGCTCAATTTTAAATAAATTTTTCCCCCTCGGTTTTTTTCACAGGAACACACTAACAAAAATTCCCCCTAATTTAAAATTTTATAGGGGGGCCTGAAAAAGATAAAAAATGTAACATCACAGTCACTAGTGAAATGGTTTTGAAAAAAATAGAGACTGAAGCAAAATAAGTCCCGGGTCCCGACGAGCTTTTTTCAATACAAGGAATGCAAAATGGAACCCTTGTGAAACCCTTAAATAATATTTTTAATTTATCTCTTCAAAGGGGTGTCTGAATGTGGAAGATGGCTAAATTTAATTTCCCTTTTTAAACAGGGGGAAGTCGTTTTCCGTCAAATTACCACCCCCTAAGCCTGACCTCAAAAGTAGGGAAATTATATAGTCAATTTAGCGAGATTTAAGAAGCCATCCGAAAGCATAGCTTGATTAATGATACCCATGGATTTAAAGAGGCCTTCTTTCAACTAAAATTTTACTTTTTTAAAATAAAGTTTTGAGGCTGTTTACCCAAAAAAGAATTTGACATTATTTACTTTGATTTTAAAAAGGTTTTGACAGAGTTCCACACCAAAGACTGTTAAGAAAGTGGCAGCTCATGGCATTGGGGAAAATGAATTGAATTCAGATCCCAAATAGAAACATATGCTTTTCAAGTGTGAATTGAAACTCAGTTGGTCAGTGTTACTTGTGTGTGAGCATGGCAGATCTGTGGTACAGTGCATAAACATGAAAACATTTGCCTAAGTTCAACACAGGAATTGGTGGTGAAGTGTCAGTGTTTTCATGGAAACTGAAAATTGATTCCAACATACTCCAATAAACAATCCCAACTTTTTGAAGTACAGTACACCAGCACTGAAATCTAGAGGTCTTTCTAAATTAATAACATGTGAACCAAATCCAAGAATGGTTTAAAAAAAAATTACCAAAGGTCACTGCATATGCCATATTGTAACGAACCTTTCCCTAGTTATAGCAGATCAACATGAAAATTTGAAGTCGAACAGATGAGGCTTCAATTAAAATAAACAAAACCTTGGACAAAGAAAAAAATTGGGCAACCTCAGAAAAAATCAGTAACCTATTTGTAGATATCTAGTTGCCACCAATATGTTTTTACAAATTAATTTTGAATGAACCCATTTTTCTTTCAACAAACTGGCTGTATCCCATAAAGGCAGGGTGGCCCAAAAGAAAAGCCAAAGTTTCTTTTTTTTAAATTTCGTAACATATACAGGAGAAGGGGTTACCAGCTCCTTGCACCTGCATTTAAGTCACCTCTTATGACATGCATGGCTTATACAGGAAGAATTCTATTCCACTTCCCCATGGAGATAAGGGGAAATAAACAAGAACTAGGAAGAAAACAGAAGAAAACCCAGAGGGGTTTGTATACATATACTGTTCATGGTACCCAGAGTTTCATACAGCTCCCAACTCAAACATTTATGTAAGTGTATTATTTTAAGTGCTGAAGTAAGTGTATTTTTGGGGGTCTGAAATGGACTAATCTAATTTACATTATTCCTTATGGGAACAAATTCATTTGGTAACGGCACTTGAACAGCCTTTTGGAATGAATTATGGCAGAAACTCAGGAACCACTGTATATGTTGTACATGCATGTGTATGTGACCTAAGTTTAAGTAGAAGTAGCATGACATACCTGAAATGTTTATGAGACAAAAAAGACACCAGCAATTCTGCCATTATGTAAAACACTTACCATCATGTAAAACAATTTACACTCAGTGGCAGGACTGCAGTACATTCCCTACTGAATCCATTATTTCTGTAAATAAATCTCAACTAGAACAGCAAATCTCTTAGCAAACAGAACACTGGGGCCCAGTCCCTCTTGACCCATTGTGCCTCTATACTCTCTCTTGACTACCCTCATACAACTGATGTGGGTGTGTGTGAAATCAAGTCTCAAACAAAAATTTCTTATTTCTACATTAATCTGCAGACTCTACACATACCTTGTAACATGTTGTTCCTCTTTCCCAGCATGGGGTTTATCATCTGGTTGAGAAATCCATGCAGTTGGTTCCCAGTCATCATTACTAGATGTTACTCTGCACATTCCTTGATAGTTAGCTTTATCATCATCTTTAAAGTTAAACTCAGATTAGAATTTGAAAATTTAATTTATTTCCATTTCAAACTTAAAATTTTCTTCACTCACAGATAATGCATTAAGAACAAGTTTTTAAATGAAAAATAAACGAATGTGATTGTACTTCCTTAAACTTGGAAAGCCGCCTTACTCTATTAACCAAACCAAGGCTTATCAATGCCTACTAAAACTAGAAATTTGGTCCTTTAATCTATCAATATTTATTTACCAACTACCATTTTTAAGTTTGCCTTGCAGAAGACAGGAAGTCAGTGGCTTTTGTTGTAGATGGAGTACCCATCTACTACAAAACATCAATATCTAAAATATAATTGAGTGGAGATGAATAGTTTTAGGGACTTGATGAGCTCTTGGAGTGTGAGCAGGGTAATATTTTGTGAGGGATTCAGGGAAACTGACCAGCTGGATTTGAATCCTGGAGGTGGAAAGTACAATCCCCTGTACCTAGAAGATTTTTTGGGTTTTTTAGAGTGAAATCTAAACTGTCTTTCTTGTGCCTTGGGTAAGACGGGTAAGAGTTTTGAGTGACAATGACAATGTTTATTTCTTGAAAAAGCTTAAATGAGGGGTTTACTGTATAAATTATTAATTAAAAAAGGCCACTGGCATCCCCGGCTTTTTTGAGCGACAAATACAAATTTTTTACTCTATTGATATAGTTTGAGCAGTACATATAAACATACTTTATTAAAACAACAAAATTAGGTACATAATTAGAAAAAATTTTTTTTTTTGGTGGACCCACGTTTTTATAAAAAAAACAGATTTTTTTTAAGTGGGGTACCCATCCTCTACAGGGGGGGGCATCACCCCCCCTACATACAAGAACAAAAATAGCAAAAACCCTACGTACCTAAAATCTTGGGTACCTCGGTATAAATCTTTAATTTTTCCCCGGCCCTTGGACTTTACCAAACAGGATGTTTGCCAAACGAATTTTCCCCCCATAAGAAAACGTATGGGGGAAAACGTTTTAAATCCTTTCCCATGAAAAAGAAAATCCTATTTTATTGGCATGTTATACATTGATGGGTTGTAAAAAAAAATTTAAACTTTGCTAAATCCCAAAATATCTTTTTAAATTTTGGTTAAACTAAAATAAATAAATACAAAAGAATTAGATGAATAAACCCAAATATTACCTCACCACTTTGCTAAAGAGATTTGATGCTTATTTTTATAGGGGGTTGAGAAGGGGGGGGGGGGAATTTTTTTTGTTTGGAAAGGTCCCCTTTCTCTTTTCTGTTTTTTATCCTTTTTTGGACCTGGCTAAAACTCACCAGGTTTGATTTTTTACTAAAAAATTGTCCGAAGAACTTTGCTTCGCCTGCTCCTCAGGATTTTTGGGAAATGTAACACGTCTGGTCATTTCAGACAATGCTATTTCGGGTTGTTGGGCTTTTTTTGGGGTGGGACTTTTTCTGCAAAATTTTTTACATCCATCCCTTTTTCAAAAATTTCCCTTTATTAATGAAGTAGGGGTTTTCCCCTGCCCCCTCTTTCGACCGAAGGAAAGGCCATCCATCTTAGTCTTGGGCTCCTCCTTCTCAATTCCTGCATTTCCCCAGTAGTCATCTTCCCTGTGCCCCCCCCACTAATCCTCCCCTCACCATATCACATCCCGCCAATGGGGCCTGCCCAAGGGGCAATACTCCCCCCTAAGACACAGCCCAAAGTCCCTTTTAGCCACTTTTGCCCAAATTCCCCCAAGTCAGTTCATTGTTCGTAAAAAACTTCCTGCCAGGCTCTGTCAAAGAGATTGTGCAAGGGGGATGTAAAAGCGATCTTTTCCCAAAAATCTCTCAGGGCTAACTCTTGCAGAGGTCATTTCAAACCCCTCTGGAAAAAATGGGTTTTAGTGTAGTTTTTCTTTAAATTACGATGCCTGCTGATCCCTGGGTGAATGGAAAAAGTTTTTTGTTAGAGGGGGAAAACATTACAGTGTGAAGTCGAACTCCACAGCACATAGCCCCGCAAGCTTGGGGGCTGGAGCACTGTCCATTATGAGGAGGGCCTTCAGAGGTAGGTTTTTCTCCTCTTAGTAACTTTTTACACTTGGTCCAAACACAACATTAAACCATTTGCTGAAATATTCTTTGGTTACCCAAGTCTTGCTGCTTGACCTCCGCATCACAGGTAACTGAGTTTTCTGCATGTTATGTTTTTTAAAGGTCCTTGGGTTTTCAGAGTGGTAGATCAGTAGAGCCTTCAGTTTGCAATCCCCACTTGCATTGGCACAGAACAAGAGAGTTAACTTATCCTTCATTGGCTTGTGTCCTGGTAATACTTTCTCTTGTGTAATATAGGCCCTGTTAGGCATTTTCTTCCAAAACAGGTCTGTTTTGTCGCAATTAAAAACTTGGGGAACAAAACCCTCAGCCTCCACAAATTCCCCAAACTCTAACAAAATCATTGGCGGCATCTTTATCAGCACTGGCTCTCTCTCCATGCCTCACAAAACTGTGAATGCCAGTCCTCTTCATAAAATTATCAAACCAGCTATGGCTAGATGACTCACGAAATTGTAATGACACGATTGCAAACAAACCGCGGGTTCAATCCCGGCCGGGGTATGGTCAGCTATGGCTAGCTTTAAACACTTCACTTTCTTGACTTATTCCTGCCTAGTTTTTCAAAAGATTGGCATGCATCAGTTTTGCCTCTTTGCAAATCATTGCCTCTGATATGCTATTGCCAGCACACTTTTTCTGTTATCCAGATCAAAAGCAAATTTTCAACATGCTCTTATGTCCCCAATCTTTTGTTTGGTAATCAATTTCACCCCTTTCAGAAAGTTAGCCAATTTAATAACTTCGTTTTTCACAATTGTAGATACTATTCTTCTCGGCATATGGTATGCAGCAGCCAAGTCCCGGATACGCATGCCACCCTCATACTTTTCACAACAATCTCTTTTTTCACCTCCACGGTGATCCTAACCATTTTCTTTGTTGCTTGGCTCTTCTCATTAAGTTTCTTAGAACTCATGGTTAATAAATTTACTAAAAAATTACAAGAAAAAACACAAAATCATGTGAAAATTCAGAGTTACAGCGTGGGTTGTTCACTGAATGGTAGCAATGACTATAAACATAAAATTCCTAATAATTCCTAAGAATTAGTATTAGTCTGCCTGAAATGCCTAGGCATGCTAGTGGCCTTCTTTGTAATTAATATTTTATAACATGTAAACCACACATTTTAAACTTTACAAGGAAATAAAAGATGCTGATTTTGATTTGATTTTTATACAAGTTCTGGCATCGGAGAAATATTCCAAACAAAGGCAGACACAAAGCCAAAATTTTTTGCATCCAAACAGCGTAACCAAATTTACTTATTTCCAAAAATGGGTGTATACGAGGTAACTGTAATTATAGAGGTTGGAGACGCAACCCCCCAGGGAGGAAAACCCCTGCCCAAAGGGGTGTAAAACGAAAACCTGTAATTGTTTTACTGATGTAGGATTTCGTGTCTTTTGTTGTCCAAAATATGCAAGATTACAGAGTCCCGTTACTTTTACTTACACTTTGGCACATACAATACAGACATTTTATTTATACACCCTCACTGGTTTTTTTTTTGTTTTATTTAAAGTTCTTGGTTTATTTTCTTTTCCCCTTTTTTATCCATGGGGAAATGGGAAAAAGAATCTTTCCCCCGTAAGCAGGGGTTGTAAAAGTTTTAACTAAAAAAGCCGGGGGCAAGAGCTAGTAACCCCCTTTTCCCGTAAAGATTACAAAAAGAATAAGAAGAAAAAATTTTCAAAGTGGGAAGTTGAATGTTGTGGATGTTGTGCAAAAGATAAGAAAAAGATATTTTGGTGTTATGAAAGAGAAGAAATGGGTGTCCAGGCTTTAATGAAACAAACTGAAGGGGTGGGAGGTTTCAATGGGGGAATAAAAAGGGATTAGGTAGGGTTTCAAATAGAGTTAAACTAAAGAAGGATAGCAATAATGTTAAGGATAACCATGGCAGGAAAAAGGGGGCAAAAATGTATTAATTTAAGGATTATGTGGAGTAAAATAAAGATTGGATATGAAAAGTGGGTTATAAAGCGTTATGCACCTGGAGAAGAAGAATGTGAGGGGAAAAGAAGATTTTGGGGAAAAGTTAGTGAAGCGGGGGAGTTTTTGAATCAAGTGGGAGAGTAATGGTGGTTGGGGTTTCAATTTTAACGTGGGTAGAAATGTTTTTTGGCTATGTGTAGAAAGATTTGGTAATAAGTATACATATTTTTACGAAAAAGAGGATAAAAAAAAAACAAAGAAATGATGTAGCATGTAATGAAAGTAGTTTTGTTAGATTACGTATTGGTGGATAAAGGTTGATGAGTAGGCTCCAGGATGTACATGTTTATAAGGGGGCAACTGATATATCTAATTGTTATTTAGTTGTAGCTACAGTTAGAGTAAGAGGTAGATGGGAAAAGAGGAAGGTGGCAACAACAAGTAAGAGGGAGGTGAAAGTGTTTTTAAATAAGGGAGGAGGAAGTTCGGGTGAGATATAAGCGACTTTTTGGGCAGAAAGGTGGGCTAGTGCAAAGATAGTAGGGAAAGGGGGGGGGGGGGTTGAAGAGGGTTGGAATAGTTTTAAAAATGCAGTATTAGAATGTAGGCAAGAAGTTTGTGGTTAAAGGAGGGTGGGGGGCAGGAGGAAAGCGGAGTGATTGGTGGAATGATGAAGTAATGAGTGTGATTAAAGAGAAAAAGTTAGCTTATAGAGGTTTTTACAAAGCAGAAGTGTTATAAGAAGAGCAGAGTATATGGAGAGTAAAAGAATGGTGAAGAGAGTGGTGAGGGAGTGCAAAAGGAGAGCAGATGATAAAGTGGGAGAAGGCACTGTCAAGTAATTTTAATGAAAAAAAGAAAAAAATTTTGGAGTGAGTTAAACAAGTTAAGAAAGCCTAGGGAAAGTATGGATTGTCAGTTAAAATCAGAGTGGGGGAGTTAGTAGATGGGGAGGATGGAGG